CCTTAGAGTGTGCTGCAATGGTCAGACATCTAGGCAGAGGAGACAAGCTGAAAACGAAGCCAGGAAGTGAGACAGGAGCCAGATGATCAGAAACGCCCGAATGTCATTCAAGGACAGTCAGAGAAGGCCGTGACTTGCCGAGTCGCTCAGTGGTAAAGAGTCTGCCTGCCGACACAGAAGACATGGTTTGATCCCTGATCTGGGCAGGTCCCACATGCCTCTGAGCAACTAAGCCTGGGAGCCACAGCTCCTGAAGCCCGAGGGCCCTAGAGCCCGCGCGGTGCAACGAGAGAAGCCACTGCAGTGAGAAGCCTGGGCACCACAAATCAAGTGTAGTCCCCGCTCGCTGCATCTGGAGAAAAGCCCACAGGACAACAGAGACACGGTACAGCCAAAAAAAGAAAAAAGGGCCGTAAAAAACTCTGAGTCAGTGTGTGAGATATCCAGTCCAGGACACCTGAAATACTGAGGGGCTGACTCTGTCTCAGAACTTCCGCTTCGATAGCACCCACATCTGGCAATCTGGCTTTCCACTTGACATCAGCAGTGCCACCACGTTTCTATTCCTCCCTCACTGCACTGGCAATAAGTGTTTTTAGATAATCTTCTCTGTGTGTTTTCATGAGGTTCAAAGATGGAAAGCTCTCTAGAGCAAGAAGAATTATCTAGTGATTTTTCTAAAATCGAGTCTTAACTTAGTGATCACAGTTAAGTAAGTAAGTAAGTGAAGTCACTCAGTTGTGTTCGACTCTTTGCGACCCCATGGACGGTAGCCTATCAGGCTCCTCCATCCATGGGATTTTCCAGGCAAGAGGACTGGAGTGGGTTGCCATTTCCTTCTCCAGTGATCACAGAAGGAATTTGAATATATTGACTAATGATAAACAAAATACACAAGCTACGACTTAGGGCTCAGCTTACTTTCCTGTTTTGGTAATTTACCCACTGGTACTCTTCCTAAGTTTAAGTACTTCTTGCTTCTTTAACTTTTTACATAAATTGTCAATCGGACTGAAATTTTAAGGGCGTCTCTACCCCTCTGCCTTCGTGAGCACATTACACAGGATGGTAGAGAGCTAGTCTGAGCCTCACAGCAGGACATGCATTTGGTCACAACAGAAGAGCCAGCACAATCAGTCTGGGCCTGGAGAAAGCCCCGGTCCCACAACTCGGGAAGTTTGAGATGAGTTTATCAAGTCCTGCCGACTCTACCTCCAAACATCCTCAAACTTAGTCTCTCACCTCCCTTGGGCCTAGAACCACCTTGTTGAGTCATTCCGATGCTTGTACCTGCACTATGACAGCAGCCTCTAACCTGCCTCCCTGGTTTCAGTCTCTGCACCGTGGCCAGAAAGCATGTCTGTGTGCTCACTCACTCAGCCGTGTTAGACTCCTTGCAACCCCATGGACTGTAGCCCTCCAGGTTCCTCTGTCCATGGGATTTTTCCAGGCAAGAAAGCTGGAGTGGGTTGCCATTTCCTCCTCCAGGGAATCTTCCCGATCCAGGAACTGAACCTGAGTCTGCTGTGTCTCCTGCATTGGCAGGCATTCTTCACCACTGTGCCGCCGGGGAAGCCGTGGCTAGAATGACCCTTCCAAAACACAATCCCTTCACTTCCCATCCTCGTTAAAACCCTTCAGCACCTCCTCAATAGCAATAGCACATCAAGTCCAGATTTCTTACCACACCACATGTGACTCTTGAACAAGTTGTCTAACAAGCACAGGAGACTCTAATTGTCTCTCCTGCCATTTATCCACTCAACACCTATTTCCTGTCTACCTACTACATGTCATGAACTATTCCAGACACTCAGGGTGTGTGTGCGTGTGCGCGTGCATGAGTAAACAAAAAGCAAGTATACATAAAACAAAAAACAAACCATGGGAGCTTAAATTGCACTGGGGCAAAGCTGGCAATACATACAGTAAGTAAATTACATTAGGTTAATACGTGCTGCACACAAGCACAGAAGTAAGCAGAGTGGTTGGGCAGGCCTCATTGAAACAGCAGAATTTGGGAAGAGACTTGACAGAGGTGAGGAAGCGAGCCATGAAGCTATCTGGAGAAAGCATGCTCCAGGCAGGAAAGACCATCTGGTGCAAAGAGGTGTGCCTGCGCCGGTGGGCTGTTAGAGGCCGGTGTGGACGGAGGGAGAGAGCAAGTTCTGGGCTGTTAGAGGTCGGTGTGGACGGAGCAGAGTGAGCTAGGGGAGGGAGAGAGCAGGTTCAGATGGGGAGAAGGGGGAGAGAAGGGCGGCAGACCGTGGAGGGCCCTGCAGACAACTGCAAGGACTGGATTTTATTCTGAGTAACATAGGAAGCACTGCAAGTGACAGAGGAGCAAAGGAACGGCACGACTTGACAGGTTTTACAAGAACGGCTCTGGCTCCTGCGCGGCCAGCAGACAGCAGCGGGGCAAGGGTGGAAGCAGGAACTCTGCTAGGAGGCTCTGGCCGCGATCCAGGTGAGACGCAAAGGCAGATCACGTGGGTGCTGGGAAATGGTCAGACAGCAGGTGTGAAATATTCAGAAGGTACACTCAGGAAGATTTTTCTGACACATTGGATGTGAGGTGGGAGAGAGGAGCCAAGAATGTAAGCAGGGCTTCTGGACTAAGAAAATGGGAGGACAGACTTGGCACGAGCTCGGAGCGGGTTTGTGGGGGCAAGACTGGGAGTTCAGGTTTTGACATCTTTGAAACATGTCAACTGGACTTCCCACCAGGCTTTTGGATATTTAAGTTCAGAGCTCAAAAAAGGGCTGGAGCTTCTGCTTCTTTTTTAAACATTCAAAGTTTTTTGGCTGTACAGGGTCCACTGTAGCGCACAGGCTCGTGGCCGCTGCGCACGCGTTTTCTCCCGCTGCCGTGCGTGGGGGCTCCTCTCCAGGAGCGGCACGAGGGCCTCGCATTGCAGTCTTCTCTTGTTGTAGAGCACGGGCTCTAGGGCACGCAGGCTCGGTCATTGTGTTGCATGGGCTCAGCTGCCTCGTGGCAAGTGGGACCTTAGTTCCCCGGCCAGGGATCAAACCCACGTCCCCCACTCTGGCAGGCAGATTCCCAACCACTGAGCCCCCAGGGAAGGCCCTAAGGCTGCAGCTGTTTGCTCTGATCGAAAAAAACCCACATTCCAGGCTTGGAACCACACACAGGTCCCTACATGGCTCCCTGATGTTTTCCCCAGGTCTCTGTGCCTGCCTGCCTGTGTCTAAAGAGTTCTTACTCCCATCTTTTCCCACTTGGTCAAAAAAAAGTCTCAGCCTTCAAGACTTATGTCATATAGCATCTATTTATGAAACTCACATGATTATCATCTCCTGAATTACCCTGTTTCCTTAAGTTACTGACGAAACTGAACTATATGATAGCTGGTCTTTCAGCATACTCCAAAAGGCTAAACAATTTTAATGTCTTCTTTGGTAAGGAAAAAGCAGCTGTTTCACAACACAGCAGATGACTTGCCTGATCTGATCACCAGAGATCTTTAGAAACTTTTAAAAAAAATTAAGACCACAGAAAAATATTTTGGCAAAGAGCTGAGTAATCAGATTTTGCATTTTCCAAGTTCAGTAGTTATTTGAAGAAGATAAATTCTCAAAAAGACTTGTATTACATAATAAACTTTATAGGCTAAAAACAAAGAGGAACATCTGCCTGTGTGCCAAAGTTATTTACTGTTCTAAAAAATTTTCATTTTGATTGTCATCCTTTCCCTTGCCCTGGGGAGGCACTGAAATTAGAAGAGTTATTGGACAAGAAAACTAGTCTCTGTTTCATTCCCGAGAGACAGACATCCCATCTAATTGAGAGGGGCAGGGCGGGGGAGTTTAAAAGATGTGAAATTGAGAGCTGATCCAGTTCAGTCAATGTGGATATTCAGAGGGGCTGTGGCTGCCACTTGGAAGTGTGAGCCCAACTATAAGTTCAGTGCAGCTACAACCTTCTAAAATGTATGCACCATGAGGGCAGAGATTTTCTTTTGTTTTGTTCACTACTATTTCACATAGTTAAGTACAGGGTAAATTTAAAAATGTGTAATTCAAGACTATATGGGGGATTGAAATACATTCAATATAAATTATGAAACAAGTACAATACATTTCTTCCAAGTTTAAAAAATTGTTGACTCTTTGAAAGTCACAAAATTTGAAGTACCAAGAATTTGCAATCATAACCTTTAAGCATGAATTACAAAAGGGTAATAACCACGTCCAAAAGTGTGGAGGAGGGACACCAAAGCAAAAAATCTCCAACAAGGTAATAGTTTATAAAAGTTCTTCGTAGGTTAAGAAAAAAGGATGGTATTCTAGCAACCAGTTATACTTGCTTTTTAGTGTATAGTATTTGAGATACACATTCATCATGGGAAAATTATAGCCCTTGAAAATAAAATGGTGCAAAGATCTTATAAACATGTCTTTAGAGAATCAAGATTTACAAGGACAACTAGAAAAAGACATTTAAAAATTTTTATTCCAGGTTATAGTAACAAAGTAGCTTAATACAACCCAAATTAACAGCCTAGGTTCTGAAAGTTCCCTTACTGAAGAAACTCTTTTTGAGTTTAATTTTAATATAACTGACATTGTATTAGTTTCAGGTATACACGGTAATGATTCAGTCAAGTGTATACCCTGGAAAAGGATCACCACAGTAAGTCTAACTTCCAACAGCAAATATAGTTGAAAAAACAATTTTTTTCTTGCAATGAGATCCTTTGGGATCTCTTCTCTCAGCAACTTTCAAATGTGCAAGAAACTACTATTAACTATAGTCAGCACTGCCCATGACATCCTCATGACTTCCTTATTTTGTAACTAAAAATTTGTTCTTATTTATTTGATTTAAAAAACAAACAAGCTTTGAAGAAAACACCTGTAACAATAACCATTGTTTTTATGCAGTCAATAGGCAATCTAATACATGTATTTCAATTCTAAAAAAAAACAAAAAACAAAAAAACACACCAGGTATTGTTTTAAAGTTAAAAAACACCAACCTCTTTAACCTCATGTAGTTTTCATTGGCAGCAGGTCGGCATTCAGCTCTTTGTACCACTATTCCTTCCAGTGAAAGCTTATCTTGAATGGAAAGAAAAAAATTAACAAATGTATTTAGATAACATTTATCATTTTCAAGACTGTATTTTGACATACTAACCACAGTAACTGATCACAATCAAATATAGTCAAAAATATAAATCAAGGAAAGAAAAGGAATATTTTTAAGTTTATAGTGGTATCACTGACCAGAATAGCAAAAAAAAAAATGTATTCGTAGCTAGTAAAAAACTAGGCTCCTGTCAGGTTTATTTACAGACTGCTGCAGCCCCTTGCCAATAACAGTTTTTATACACTTAGCTCTTTCTAAAGAGAGTAGCTTAAAAGGGCACAAAATCAAATAAATATTTGAAGGGTGTACAGGCTATATCATCTTTGAAGGGTGTACAGAGAAGTAACTTCTGAAAACACAGTCTAAAGCACTAAATCAAAGGTATATACATAACACGTTATTTGAATGCGTGGGTACACACACATATATGTGCAAAAAACAAAATTCTAGAATACACTGTGACTAGAACAGCTAGCCTAAAAAATACTGTGAAACTAGTCAGGTTCTTGCCTAGGTTATATAGAATACCAGTTCCGCCTGCCAGTTGCTCTTTTATTTTTAGCAAAATGATTAATATGGGTGTGGTAAAACTAGAGCTTTTAAATGCTATGAATATTTGTCCAAACAGAAAGAAAAATTTTCCCACTGTTAGTAAGAATTCTTACAGTGACACTGATATAATATTAAAGAGAAACAAAAGTTAGCACCTACTACTGTGTGCCTACTAGGCACCAAGTCACTTTAGATCTCATCTTATTTGATAATGCATGTATGACTGACCCACGGTGGCACCAGCTTTACCGCAGTCTGGAAATGGATGACTATGGTTAGGAACAGTTACAGTTCAATCATATTTCTAAGAGAATTCACCCAAGTACCCAGGAGAGATTCAGGAACTCCTTTGGCTCCTCAGCAATGCATTTATGATCCATCTTTGGAGGGCCAATGACCTCATACATTCCACAAACATTAACCAAGTGCCTACCATGCAAAGTGAACCATCTAGGCACTGCAGAATCGAAGATGACTGAGATGCGGTACTGTCTTCAAGAAGCACACAGTTCACTGGGCAAACAGATAAACTGACCAAAACGTAAAACGCAGATGCAACCACGCCCACATGATTTATATGAGAAAAATTTTCGTGACTTTCCTGGTGGTCCTGTGGTTCAGAATCCACCTGCCAATGCAGGGGACATCGGTTCGATCGCCGATCTGGGAAGATTCCACGTGCCTCGAGGCAACTAAGTCCGTGCGTCACAGCTACTGAGCCCACGCGCTCTGGAGCCGCAGTGCCGCAACGGCTGAGCCTGAGAGCCGCAGCTAAGGAAGCCGCGCTCCGTAACAAGAGAAGCCGCCACGTGAGAGGCCCGAGCAATTAGAGTCGCCCGCACGCAGCAACAGAGGCCCCGCACATCCATATCCATACATGAGGTCTTCCACACGCCAAAAGTTTTATGGTGGTCTTTTGTGGTTTTTGTCTCCAAAATCCTGTAACTCCTTATTACGGCCCCTAAGTACTAACTGCAAACACACAGTAATGCAATGCAACATAAGCACAAACCTCAAGGTACAGGCTGACAGACGATGGCAAAGGGTGATGATGAGAAGCATGTCTACCTTACACCAAAATATGGCAGGAAGGGAAGAATAAGCAGGCTGAAATTATTTCATATTAAATTTAAATTCTAAAAGTAATGTCCTTACTAATGAATTTTGTTAAGATTAAAATTTGAATTTTCTTAAAGCAAAAACAAATCTTATATTCAAGCATGCCCCTCCACTGAAGCTGAAAGTTCAAGCTAGAATGATTCTCGTCATAACAATCACAAGATTTGGGAATGACTCCAATCTACAGGGCCTTAAATGCATGATAAAAGCTCACTACTGAAACATAAATTAATCCTTTTTAAATCTAGAATACTGTCTCCAAAGATAATTTAGTTGCATACCCATGTGTTTACTAATGTTGAATACTGAAAAGCTACCTTTCAATACCACCTGTGACCGTTCCCCACTTATTTAGCAGTACCTTCTCCTGGGTGGGGGCTTTCCTGGTAGCTCAGCTGGTAAAGAATCCGCCTGCAAAGCAGGAGACCCTGGTTCGATTCCTGGGTCGGGAAGAACCCCTGGAGAAGGAACAGTCTAATAAAGAATCTGCCTGCAATGCGGGAGACCTGGGTTCGGAAGATCCCCTGGAAAACGGAAAGGCTACCCACTCCAGTACTCTTGCCTGGAGAATCCCCATGGACAGAGAGGCCTGGCGGGCTATGGTCCATGGGACAGCAGAGTCGGAAGGGACTGAGCGACTAAGTACAGCACAGCACAGCACTCTCAGGTGGACAGGGTGAATTTAATTTTTATTTAAAAGCTTCTGCTGAAGACGTTTCACACTTATGATACCTGAAAGAGTAACAGGCATCTAAAGCACCTACCTGCTTTAACCTGGCCACCACTCATCATCACTCTTCTCCAACAAGGTCACTCAAAGTAGGAAAATTCACTTCCCCAAACCATGATTTCCTGTCCATCATATTTTCTTTTCAAATCTAAAATACCTTCTCAAGTGAAAGGAAAAGTCTTCATCAGCAGCAATGAAAATTTCCATCAACTGGCTGCTCTTAAATAAGGCCACATCTCTGTCCACTCTTTGCCCTTTCCCCTCTCTTCCAAAATAAAATTAAAAAAAAAAAATTTACTTATAATGCAGCCCCCTAAGCAAGATATAAAACCTCATAGGAACATGCTTTCATTTTTTTTTCTACTAAACTGTGCTGCTTCTCTAAAACACCACTTAAGATTTCAGGGGAAAGCTTTTATATATTACATTTTAAGACAGCTGAAAGCACTCACTTGCACACTACTGCTGTTAATTACAGATCATATTCATTAATACAGGAACCCTGACTTAAAACTATTTGTTGGCTCAATTTGAAAGACTATAAATACTTGAAAAATGAGCTTTTTTCATATATTTTTAAAATATTTACTGAGTGCCTTTTATGTAAAAAATAATGCCAACACATCAGGAATAACACAGAAATATGAAATAACAGAAATATGAAATATGAGGGCTCCTGACCTCAAGGAGCAGAGTCTAGTGCAGCCATTCACAAATGTGAGGATCCAAAAGAACTTTTTATGTGGATTTTATCTACTGATATTGACCATACTAGAAATGAAAACTGAAAAATGCTTAGAAAATCAGAGTGAAAAAGGCAAAAATGCTTGATATCATTAGGAAAATAGTTCTGATTTCCCAGGCCCCTGGAAAGTGTCTCAGGGACCCAACCTTTACCTAGTGGCTTCCAGATTACTTTCTGGGGGCTTGTTGGTATGAGACAGGTATATAAACTACCCTAACACACAAGGAGCACTTCTGCTAGGCCTCCACTTAACCCACTTCTAGATTACCAAGGCTCTCAGTTTCCCTCTTAAATATGGTGACAGATGCCCAGAGCTTGCTATACACTAGTGGGTAGTAGGTTAATCTCTATTACTCCCACACACTTCTGCTCAAGCTATGCTAGAACTTGTTTATGCTAGTTTTACTGTTAGTAATTATGCAATTTAATTATATATTATATAATCCTATTAATTATGAGTATGGGGGAGGGAGACTTTCTATGAAAACTAAGTTTAATGCTTTGTAACATGTGATATGGGCTTCCCTGGTGGTTCAGTGATAAAGAATCTGCCTGCAAAGCAGGAGATGCAGATTTGATCCTGGGTCGGGAAGATCTCCTGCAGAGGAAAATGGCAACCCACTCCAGTATTCTTGCCTGGAGAAACCCATGGACAGAGAAGCCTGGCTGGACTGTAGCCAATGGGGTCACAGAGAGTCGGACACGACTGAGCAACTAAAGAACAGCAAGATGTGATCTAAAGATACGTCGCTGAAAACCTGTCAGATTAGGTACTGGAGTGACTAGAGACTAGAAGAGAAACAAAAGTCTAGAAGGATTCTACATTTGTATCATCTCACTGTGTCTAAAGTCTTGCTCCTTTTTCAAGAAACCAAAATTAAAAATCTAAACTAAATTATGGGTTTACTTTCCACAAGAAAGGGAAATCAGATAATCAGCATCCTATAGTGACAGCAAAGGCCTTGTCCTACGTGTACACTGGTGACCAAATGTACATTTGTGGGTCTTAAAGTGTTTAAGGCAGTAGGAATATGTTCTATTATCATGATTCCCAACCTTTTAATTTAACTACTGGAAGGACTACTGGTCCTTCCATAGAGGCTGTGAGATTCTACTGTACTAAGTAGAATTTATTATCGTTTATGAGGGTTATCTTTCCTTAGGCCTGGATGCTTGTTTAACTTTTCTTTAGATTCTGGGAACTATTCCAGGACCTCTTCTAAATTTTCTCACCTCCCCCGCTTCTTGAGCTAGACTAGTTTGCTTACCGGTTTCTGCTCTTTGCAGCCCAAAGAATCTTCATGAGTATGAACACACACCTTTGTGATGGTATTTTATTCATCTATATACTGCCACCTAGTTTCAGAAAAAAACTGAAAGTTACACAAAGTGCATTCTTATAACAAGAATGGAAGCATCCCAGTTCTAAATCTGTCACTAAACAGCGGAGTTACTTTGGAGAAGTTACTTCACATCTCTGGGTCTCGGCATCCATATGCATAAGGAAGTCACTGGGATCTCTTCCAATTCTCTTTCACTAAAATTAACAAAACAAAACTGGCCCTTCCCTCCAACTGGGGATGCTTTATTGTTTCATCAATATCTATTTTGTTTGCCCTAATACTTTCTAAAAGACCTAGATATAATTAAATTTTCTTTGAGTAGGAATTAGAGAAAAATGCTTTCTGGGAACAACAAAGAGAAAACGTCGAGAAGCTGTCCAGGACTTGAAAACACACAAACTTCTTTTTCTAAGCTAGACCTTCCTACTCTTTATCTCAGTTTGACATATACTACTGTATGATGATAGGCTTCCCTGGTGG